ATTTTTTTTTCTTCTTTCTTTTGTCAGTGTTTTACGGCACTCGCAACTGCATACGGTCAAATGAGCGCGCAGGGCACAATAAAAAAAATGTTCATTCCGTAGGCAATTTTGAATTTTGCCCGGGTGGTGGCCAAAGCTTCCTCTTATCGATTTAAGACCACCAATGGATCTTTAATGAGCGCAACTTGCACACGAGACCTCCGAGATTTGTCCCCCTTGTCTGAGAAGGTTAGGTGTAGATCTTTCCTACCAGAAGATCAGGGGAGTGGATGAAAGACAGCAGTAAGGAGGAGTCAAGGAGCAGTAGAAAGGCTGCAGAAAGAGTCAGTAGCCCAGAGGTGGGGGCAAAGGAGGTGAGTGGGTGAAGACAGAAAGAGGAGACGAAATCAGACGACAGAACATTGCTAGAGAGCAGGAAAGGAGATGAAAGGAGACATTTTTAGAGAAGACATTTTTAGAGAAGACATTTTTTCGGTCGAACACGGGACCTTTGAATAAGAGGCGAACACCTTAACCTCTAGGCCACGAGAGCCCCCGAAGTGTGTCTGTGTCTGTGGTGCAGCGATTTGGTGCCTCGTTGTTCGCACGCAGGACACGAGTTCAATTCCAAAGTGGGAAGAATTTTTATCGAGTACCTCGGTATTTCTGCTGAGATGTTGTATCCCTCTCACCCCAGGTTGACCCTGATAAGAAGGGTCGGAAGTGGCCGTCCTGCTAAATGATCTAATTTGTGTTGATGGAGGCGTAAAATTACCTACAAAAATGTGACTGCGGTTGTAGCTGCAGCAAAAACAGCTTAGTACGTCTGTTTTGTTTTAGTAAGTGTTTTACGACACTTGCAACACAGTAAGGTCATATAAGTGCGGAAGATTAGAGGTGCTACAAGAGAGTAACAAACATAAAAAAGGAGGGGAGATAAGGACTATAGATGTTTGAAAGGAAAGAAGAAGCAAACCACACCAAAGCACCCGCCAACCACCCACTAAGTGCGTCTACGGGTAGTCGAGCAATTAGCACTAATTCAAAAAGAAAATATACTGAAACATCACAGTGACAGTTCTCAGTAATTATCGTTTCTTGCTACACTCTCTTCGGTAGCTTAAACCACAGTCTTCAGGTCGACTAATTAAACATTCAACATCGTTCAAATCAATGTCTCATCAAATTATATTATTGTCAAAATGAGTCGAAAAACGGTAGACATCACTCAAACTGTGTATCTGCATGTTTATTTTCATGTTCGATCACAATCGCATTGTTTTGAGAATTGTTATGGCACATTGCTTTGGTGCAACTAGACGTGATTTGACGTGGCGTGATATAACGTGACGTGATGCGACGTTACGCCACGTGACGTGACGTGTGTCCAATGACGTGCTCAGCCAACAGAAGGTCCGCCCAGGGCTGCGAGTTTGCAGATGTCAAACTTGAAGATTCGATCTCTGTGGGGGAGAAAGGAGGGGGGGGGGGG